TGCAATCTTTCAGGTGATACATGCTGATGGTTTAGATTAGGGTGGTAGTGATGGAGAAACACAGAGATGATTTAATCTGTGTTGAAGATAGAGGCAACATGATTTGCTGATGAATTGGGTAAAAGAGAAAGAGAAGAGTCAAAGTTTACCGAAAATTTTTGACCTGTGTAACTGGGTAAGAAGTATAACTTTTGAAGGGAGGAAAACAGAGAAAAGTAGATTTATGGGAAAACTTCCTCACAGCTTCTTATTTAAAAAAAAAAAAAATCTATCTATATATATATCTTTCCTTTTTAAAAACAGCATATAAAGCATTATCCAATCTCTTTGTCCTGATATTTTCTGTTTTTAAGTGATTTATTAACTGATTCTGTTATTTCTAAGGAAATAACTCTGATCTGAAGAACAAATCAAATCATGTGTTAACTCAACCTTTCCCTAGGTCTTTATTTCTAATGTCATCGTTGATTATATCTATTCTGTTATCTCCTATATCAAATTAGTGATGGTATTCTTAGAACATACTTTTTTTCGGAATATTTCTTATTCCTTTCATTTCTGCTGCATTCTCAATTTAGCTCTTCATGCATGGATATCTATAACAAGTTTTGTACTGGCTCCCTAAATATTGATAAATAAGAGGTCAGAAGTACTCTTGCATCTCCTCTTTACCTTTACACTTCCTACTTATCCTTAAAAATTCCGTCATATCTCCCACATTTCCATCATCTAAGCCACTGTAGCATGTGATTTTCTAATTTCTAATTTTAATAACAATATGCTTCCTAGTGACAGATGCTAAGCTATTTAAGGATGTACTTCCTACATTCCAACTGGCTTCTACCACAGAGGACAAATGCTCTTTATTGATTTGGTATGTTACTTAGCATGTAGTACATGGCAGAACACAGAGAAGACATCCAATAAAAGCCTGCTACATGGAATCGATGTGTCTTTTCTGGAAATCAGAACTTATTGAGCCTCTTGGCTCGATGGCTTATCATCTAATAAATGAGATTCTTAAATTTAATTTAAAAAACAACTATAATTTATTTTTATTACTCAAACCCAATTATTATGTTATAAAAATTTAGTTCAAGTATTAGAATATAGAATTGATGGCCTTATTCATTTACTGGCAGGAATTCAGGATCACATATATAGCCTCCGAAAAAAGATGATTCCTTCTGGTTCAATGGACTAGTGGGGCCTAATCTCAGATTGGCTATTGTCTCCATGTTGGGAAAAGGCATATGAGGTAGAAAGGTAGAATGAAAATAGTGTTCTACAATGAAAAAGAGCTTGAACTTTGAGGATAGGCAGACTAAAATAATTCTAACTGTGAAATTAACTAACTGTGTAATTTTGGGTAAATTATCCTGTGTGAACCTCAGTCTCTTCTATAATATAAGAATACTAATGCCTAGCTAATAGAGTAGTTATTAGGATCAAGTGAATTAATATATACAAAGTGCTTAGCACGGTTTCTGGCACAGAGTAAGCCACAAGATGTGGTGGTTATTGTGGTAATCATGATTCTTTTAGTTGAGAGGAAAAGTCATTGATTTGGGAGACTGCACAAGGCCCTCTCCCCACCTTTCTAATTTTTCTGTTTCAACCCCATTCGTTTCTACTGGGGAGGATTTTCCTCACTCTGTAGGGTGCAAGTGAACACCGAGCTGTCAGGCTTTTCCTAGCTTTACCACTAGAGAGGAAATTACTCTCTCTCTCAGTTTCAATTCAAAAGTCTAGGTGACTACTCAAAAGTATAGGTGATTAGAGTTGATAATACTGTATTGTAGAGAGCAGAACTTAAATGTTCTCTCTCACACACACACAAAATGTAAATATGGTGTGTGAGGTGATAGATATGTTAATAAACTCAATGGGGGGAAACTTCACAATGTATACATATAGCAAATCATCACACTGTACATTTAAATATCTCACAAATTTTTTGTCGGCTACACCTCATTAAAACTGGAAAAAAAAAAAAAAAGTCCAGAGGAAGGATTTCGACAAACAAAGGCAGGTTGGCTCCCTTGCTCACCCTTTGGCAAAGGGTTTCTGAGACTATCTATGACTTATGCTTTCACTAGGACCACTTAATTATTACTGTGGATGAGGAGAGCAGTTCTCAGAAGAGCGCTGGTAGATTTCCTGGAATGAAGGAGAAAGGAGGTCAGATAGACAAATAATTGACATACATGATAGCTATTCTTGTTGTCATCATCACTATTAACATCATTATAGGATTCAAGTTCTTCAGTACCTCACATAGTCCAACGCAGTCTGAGGATCCTCAGTACATTTCAATGACACGGATCAAAAAAGAAAAAAATTAAACTGGAGCTTAAACAAAAAGCCTCAGTGTTAGTAGAGTTCAGAAGCCTATGGTCATCTCTTTTTCCTCAGTGAAAATATTTTGGCATCTGGATACTCTGACCATGTGGTCAAATGCAGCTATTATTATTATTAAGATCTCCCCAAAGTTTAGTTAATAAATTCATTTAAGTTGTCGGTGTTTATATATGAGTGACTTATACATGGTTTTTTTCATTCTTTATAATTATGTTCTTTTGACCAGATTATATTTTTCCTAAACTAGGTAAATTGTTAAGGTCTAAATAAAGGGAACTATGTGATACTTTGTTTATATTTTTTAAAAGTGTTCTTTGAGGAGACTTCTGCAGTGATTATTCATAGTTTCTTCTCTCTTCTCATATGGTTTCCATTTAGGTCTAATATGTTGCAAAAAGCTCTTTTACTTTTTTTTTTTTTTTTTGCTTATTTATTGTTTTAGGTGTGTTTTGTTCAGAGCAACAATTATGTCTCTCCTATCCCCTGTAGCTCTGGGGCTCTTACTAGTATTAGTCAGATGCATGAAATGCAGCTGGGATTTGAGCAGTTCTTAAATTAGGATTTCTTAAAATGGTTGAAAGGTAACTGTAAGAATAGGAGATTGCAAGTGGGAAGAGTAGATGTTGGAATTTAAGGAAACTGATACTTGACCAGCAGCACTATCTAGGTTATTGATTCTGAGATCACAATTTTCTCTGAAGTTACCACTGTTGCTATGTGGACATAGAAGTGAAAAGGCCCATGCTTCTTTGCCATCTGTTTATGGTCCTTATGAAGTAGAGAATCCCAAAGCTTCAGGAGTATAGAGGAGAGATAAATGATCATGAGCTGGTAAGGTCTCAGAAGCCTTAATGGAAAAGGTTGGCTTAGTTCAATTATGTTTTTAACATAGCATTTAGAATAATAAACTGAGCATCTGTAGGTGAGCTGACATTTTAGTGAACATCTTTTCTGTCTTCTGTTTTCTGTGCATGTATTATTTTTATTGAAAAATAAATAGTACATATTTTTCTATATCCTGCTTTTTTTATATTGAACAGAATTCCTTGTAATTCGATGCTCTGCTACTGTGTACTTTTTAATGGCTGCATAGTATTCTGTATGGGTCATAGACTTTTCATAAGTTCATGGATTATCATGTTATTGTTATAAAATATGAGAGTATTTCTTTTTAATACCATTGAGCAGTTGAATAACTAAGAATCAGACAGATTATTTAATGGAAAGTATTTGGACTTTATCAGGAGTCTTGTTCTTGAGTTTTCTTATTTAATTTCTCCGGATCTTAGTTTCCTTACCTTTAAAAGCTAGTAGTTGCTTTAATATTCTGTAATTGTGAGTTTTCTAGAATGTCATTGCAAAGCAGGAACAAAAGTAAGACTCTAAATTCTTTCATTACAATTGCATTAACTGATAATAGTCTTTTTCTCTCTCTTTGACTCTTTCTAACCTCAGATGTACAGATTTGAATTAATTACAATTTTTCGTTCAGAACAGAATTCTACCATTGGTCCACAAATGACTCCTTTTAATATCTTTCTTTTTTGGCATTAATACTATATATACTAAACATCTGTGAATTCCTCACCTACACGGTAGGCTCTTTAAGAATGTCTAGTAGTCAAAATCTAACTTGTCATTTTTTTAATGCAAATGACATATGTTTTATTTACCATAATGTTTCTAGCACCTACCATAGTATCTGATCCATACCAGTTGTTCAATTAATATATCTTACGCAATTGAATGGCCTTCACATAGACCTGTTACCTAGATGAGTATTTACTGGTAGAGGAGAATCCATTGAAAACTTACTAAAATGGGGACATTAGCAAAAAGGTCAGGTAATTAAAATATACTTATGCCATTAAAGTTAGTAATGAATATGAATGGAGAATAAAGCAGACATATTCACTCAGGAAAGCTAGGCAGCAGTGAAAGGCTTGACTAAAATTTTACTAAATGTGAGTTAAATTTGCCTTGACAAAGGAAAATGAATAAAACCCTCATTGTTTCAAATTGTGTGAAAGGACAATGCTTAGGACAGAGCACACTGAAGGAATGTATATCTTTAGTCCCTACAATTGTCATTTTTCAGATGAAGATAGTAAACTCACAAAAGTTAAGTGACTTCTCAAGGTCACACAACCAGTACACTTACCTCTCAGATTCATACTGTATTTGTCTGACCCTAAAAGTATGACCTTTAATGATGAGAAATTATCTGAAAATAGTATTAGAGGTCTTCAAAAACTCTGAGAAATGATTTCTTCTGAAATACCTTTATTATTCTAACTGTTTGTCAATCAAGGAGGAAGATTTCCACCTTAAGAAACCATGTATAGACAGCATATACCAAACTCTAGAAATTTTACTCTTTCTTGTTTCTTTGTCTTTTCTTTCATGGCTACAGAATACCTTTGCTATGCCTGTATTGTATACGTGTAAGCCAGAAGATTGACTCCATTAGCACTGAACTTTTCACAAAAGCCTTTGTCTCTTTCTTGACTTGGAATTTCTCCTTTAATCTCCCTGGTGAGATTTGTTGGTTGCAGTGGATTTCCTTTTCTCTCAGGACTAAGAAGGTGATCTGTGTTGCACTGCCAGCATACTTGATACCATCTTTATACTGTTCACAGAATTATAGTAGAGGACGCAGTGGATTGGCGACCCCATGACAAAATCGTCCTTAGCTCCTCTTCTTATGAGCCTCATGAAGCAGAAGTCCTCACCGTTAAAGAAGTCAAGGGCCATCATATTAGGTTCCATGAACGGCTCAAACACCGACACATTGGTAAGGCTTTGATCTGTTATTTAAGGGAAGCGAATTAGCCAGGAAGAACATGTTCTGCCTGGGGCCTTGGATCTGGTCACCTTTCAGAGCGGATGGATAGCACGTTATTGCTGTCTTAGACTCATCCTAGAAGGCTTTATCTCTACCTCTTCATTAATTTTATTGCCTAATTAAAAAAATATTTTGATGTGAGGGAATTTTTTTAACTTTTTATTTATAGTGGCAAGTCTAGAAGCAAGCTGGAGGGTTATGGCTCTTGTTCAAGTTCATTCGACATTTTCATGGCTAGGGCAGAATAAATCTCATGGGTTTCCAGTTCATTTCCTGGCACACTGATTCACACAAATAGTTAGAATGTGGTAGTTATTGTAAATGACTTCTTTTTTCATACTTAGGAATGTATCCTTCTTGAAAAAGAAAGAAAAGCCAAATGCCTTTTTCTCAAAAAAAAAAAGTACTGAATATTTTTATACACTATACACAGTTAAAATATATTGCACATAAATAATAAATAACCATAATTTCCTGGTTCAGTCTATTAATTGATCTAACACAGGAAATACAACTAATAATAAAAAATGAAAATAGAGGGGTTAGGGAATGTTTTTTTTGTCTCTTATGTATTTTCAACAGGACTATGTTTAAATCATAGTTCCAGTGATGATTTCTCTTTTAAAAGGTAGCCGAGAAAAAAAAAAAAAAAGGTGGCTGAGAAAAGAGAAATCTTCAGCAGCAATCCTTGCCAGTAAGGAGCAAGGTGCAATGCAAACGGAGGGCAGTGGAACAAACCGGCACTTGGCTCTTCAGCTACCACCACTGAGGAGGCTCCTTCAGGCAGGGATGAGCTTAAGACTCACCATAGGAGGATGCTGCCACTGCCATTGTTGCTGCTGCTGCTGCTCTTTGTCCCTTTACTCTGATACATTGCTGTTTTAGTTCTGTTGCTGCCTCAGGTCTGGGATTCCTCACTCTCATGGAAGAACTCCACAGACAATGTACAACCAAATGCTAAGTCTCACACCGATGAATTTAAGGAAGGAGGTTGGGGACCTCGCTTATTGGATAGGTCTGCCCTGCCATCCCTCCACCAGTAGCTTGTCCCAGTACCCATGGTTATTGAGGAGAAATGAATTTTTGCTCAAACACTCTCACTCTGATCCCAAAGAGAGTGAAGTAAACAGGCTTTTCATTTCTCAGCTGACAGTTGTGGAGAATGCCTGAGGAAAAGCAGAGCTTAGCGTTGGTAGGACTTCCAAAGGGAAAGGAGTGTTTTCATTTGGCAGGTTCACTGGGTCCCCAGCTGGCGATTTGTGAAATAGATTTTTAAAGTTTTTCTTTCCCAACTCCTGTTGCCCCAGGAAGCGCCCACGTCATGGAGGATGGCCAATATATTCGTCTGGCTGCTGAGGTTGGACTTTTGACCCGAAGTATACAAATCCAGCCTGATATATCATGTAAGGGGAGGCTACTTGTGGGGTCCTTCAGGAAGTCCAGCAGAGAAGAATTTTCAGGTAAATGAAATTTTAAGTTATTAAAGCTTTACCAATTGGATCCTATTCATCTGAGACACTCAGAAATTCCAACAGTGAGAATTTTCACTATAACACAAAATGTTCAAATTAGATAGCTCCTTTCATTGTGCTCTGAGAAGCTATGAATTTTCAGTCCTAATCTGTGCTTAATTATCAGTGTGAGTTAAAATAATATACTAGTCATCAGAACTTTTGTACATTTTTACCTCAAAAAAACATCTTCGGCAGATGTGAAATTTCCTTTGCTTTGAAATTATAGATGATTTAATGACCACTTGAATTTTATCTTGTTTTTGAATTTCTA